GTTTTATGTATAATGGACGGTATAAGCTAAGCTAAAATTATATATTTATCTATTTCGGTTAATGTTGCAAATTGCGTTGTTCCTTAATCTTTGAATTGGATCTGTTTTATTATTTTTTGCAGACTGGTAGAGCAATTTTATAAAAGTAAGCTTGAACTTTCGATTATGTCAAATAGAATTTCCGATGCTGGAGCTGCCAAAGCGAAAGTATGTTTCGATGTCCATCAAACAAAAAGTGGAATTGCTGCAAAAAATGGATAAAGGCATATCCTTTGTTTCTCTAACCATTCCGAAATCTGTTTTATCAATTTCACCCTGCTCTGGGGGGGGGGACATCGCAGCGTGCAATGAACTGGAAGTTGATCTGTCAGCACTATCCTTATCTTCAGGGCAGATGTTTTTATTTTATTCGGCTTATAATTCCTTACTAAATGTAGTATTTCATCTCGATGTACTCCGTCTTTGATATGATTTAAATCAAATTCCTCGTCATTATAAATATCACGAAGTTACACATCAAAATAGTTTTCTAGTTGCAATTTTCTAATTTCGACTATGCGTTATGTATGCTTTACGCATGTGCGCGTTGAAAGAAATGTTTAATAAAGTAAACAAATAAATATTAAGCTTTTTTTTTTGTAAATTTTGATACTCTTTAGATCATAATTGCTCTTTATTTCATAAATTATGGTTTCATATTTTTAATTTTATAATTTCTGCATGCCATCTTACCAGATTTAAACTGATGATCTATAATCCAGAATTGCCGAAGACCCGACGAGTCCGCATTAAAGACTTTTGACTGTATATCAAATTCCTCAATTATTTACAAATACTAGTAGCTTAATTGGTAATATAGAATGCATCAATCAAGAAGTTTACTCTTGAAGTCCAGTTGGCTAAAATATTGGTATGATTAATGCTCTTGAAAAATATATATATAAATATATATTTGTGTTTAACAAACATTCTCTATTCGTAAAAAGCAAAGTTAAAGTTAAATAAAATTTTCAATGAAATTGAATTACAAATAAATTATTAATTATTGCTATATATTTGAAGTTATTTTTAAAGGAATTGTGTAAAAAAAGTATAAAATACAAAACTTTTGTTAAAAAAATACATTTTTTAACATATTAAGCTTTAATTTGTACTTTTCCAATTAACTGCAACTGTTAGATGATATAACAAAAATGTTTAAAATTTAAAATACTGCCATTAGGTACATTGAATAAATAAAAATTCAGTACAGGAAAAGATGAATTCATCTAATATTCTACTGATATGTTAGAGACACATTTATAAACGTTAATATGTGCCTCTTGAAATTTTAAGGAAAACGTTTCGTGATAATTGTTTGTCCTAAGTCTATAACACTATATTTTTATGTATTGAAAATTTGAATGATAAATATCATTTATTGGTTGTAAATGAATTCATAAAAAGCTACAATACATTTTTTTTTTTTTTTTTTAATTACAAAATTTTTGCATTTACATCATTTTTTGGGCTATTCATCTAAAAATATTTTCCATGACTTCTTTTAAAAAATTACATTAAAAAGTTAATAATAACAACATAATGAATAACTCGAAATTTCATTTGTAGCACTGTATAGTTTCAACCAAGTTGTCCGGCAAATAAAGGAATTTAAGTAATGTAAATTTAGAAATTTAGGAGGTACTCTTTATTTCACCATAAAGCAAACTAGATGTTTATAAAAGTTATTAAGATCTTGTATATTTTTATTGGATCATGCCAAAGTAGGTCTAAGGGAAGAGATATCCATAAGAACTTTCTAAGTGGCATAGGGAGAACCAGGACAATGCCCATTCAGCCAGTCATTGGGATTTAAATCCAGGTGCTGATGGGCTCATATAAGTCTAGATGGTTTGATCTCTAAATTTAGAAATGCTAGAACTCTTTAGAAGGCTGCCAAGAAAGATGAAAAAATAACTAATATAGTAACATAATTAGGAATTGAAGCTTAATGAAATATAAAGAGATAAATAAAAATTCAATAAATTAGATAAATGCTATATGATCAAATAATAAAATATCAGATGTTGTTTCATTTAGGCCTTTCTGGCTGGATTTCACTCAAAAACTAAGGTAACTGAACTGGGCTCCAGAATTTTAAGACTTGAAAATGTAGTATCAGTACAGAAAGCTCATTCTTTTTTCAAGACATCAGTGAAAGAAGATAAAATGCTTAAAGTATCAATTAATGAGAATGCTAGCAGAAGCATGAGTGTATAAGAAAAAATTTAACTGAAAAATATAAATACAAAAGTAAAGATTTCTCTACCTTCTAGTCACAATGCCTTCTGATCTTTCGAGCAGAATATGATAGGAAACTGTTTCCCCTAAATTACAGAATTGATCTGTAAGCTGTGAACAAGTGTAAAGTTCTTTACAAGTGATTTTTTTTCATAACATTTTTTTTTTTTTCCCATTATTCAGTGTGCAGCTGCTCTTTTTCATAGAAAGTTACTAGCACTGAATCTGTTAGAGCTGTTTAGTAGTTAACTGTATTTTAGAGCTGTTTAGTAGTTCACTGTATTTTAGAACTGTTTAGTAGTTCACTGTATTAAACCATTGGGTAAAACTATATTTGATGCTGCCCCCTTGGCGATTTTTGGCAATACATGGACACGGAGTTTATACAATTCTTTGATTTGTTATTTTACCTTTGTTTAGCAGCGATTTTCGTGGCAAAAATCGCCGCTGAAATAACAAGTCAAAATAACAAGTGAAAGAAATGCACAAACTTGGTATCCATGTACACATCGACCTATTTTCACTTAGAAAAACATCACAAAATTGCACAAACTCGGCATTGCGCACAAAAAATATATAATCTCCATAAACTATGTTTTAAATTAAACAATGAAATAACATAAAAAACACTACACACTACACAAAGGAAATAGTGACCTACCTTATTTAGAAATTTCTCTGTCTTCAGTCTGTGGCACACAAAATTCCAAACAGCATCCAAACACTTTTCTCAAACTGTGTTCCCTTTCTAACGGAATGCTTTATATGTTGACCATTTGAACCTTTCTTGCGACAAACCCATTCAAAGCCATCTGAACGATCTTTATGTTCGACCATATGCATTTCCTTTGTACACTGGTTGACATTGAAAATGCAACACCAAGAAGGAGTGGTCAGAAAGTGATGAAATTTAGAAAGAAGACAGAGACAGCAAGCAGCAATAAGTGATCTTTATTTCAAAATGATAGTCAGAATACAGAACGAGAGCGGCGTCGACTCAGTAGGATGTAGGACCACCACGAACAGCGATGCACAAAGAAACACGTCTAGCCTTAGAGTCAATAAGAGTGCGGATGGTGTCCTGAGGGATGGCTCTCCATTCCCTTTCAACCATTTGCCACACTTCGTCTTCTGAATGAGGTAGGGCAAAGTCTGCAATCAGCGTCCAATCACATCCCACACATGTTCGATTGGTGACAGGTCAGAAGAGTACGGTCGCTAGGGAAGCATCTGTATACCTTGCAGAGCATGTTGGCAGATGTGAGCACTGTGTGGTCGGGTGTTATCTTGCTGTATCCTAACAAATTGTAATTTTTTGCAGCAATACATGTGCTTTAAGATGGTAAAAATTTTATAGATTATAATTCAAAAATTGTTTTGAAAAATTTATAAAAATTATTTTAAAATATACAAATTTTAAAAATAAATCATAAAAAATGGATGAATTTTATTTGGAATGAATCTGAATTTCAAAATGTAAAAGTAAAAATCAAATAAGTTTAATAAAAAAGAGATTAATAAATATATACCAAACTCAACATTGAGGAGCTAAAATTTTGAGAGCTAATTTTTAAAAAATTACTCGTGATTTGTACAAAACTTGGTAGTTTGGTGTAATTTGAGTCGTAAAATTGAAATATGGAAACAAATTGCTATATTATTTCAAAATAGCAATTTGTTTCCATATTTCAATTTTACGACTCAAATTTTGTCCAATTTTGTGTCAAAATACCTATATGAGAACAATGCTATATATAAATCTAATACATATAATAAGTCACACTTTCGAGACACGAAAAAGGCAAGTTGAATTTCGTGAATAAGCCCAGTAGAAATATGTTATTTATATACATATAGAGAGAAAATGTAAGAAATTTATAACCAAATCCATAAAGACCCAAATGGAATAATTTTGTTTTAAAATGAAAATTTGTGATACTGTATGGAATATATGAGATCATACACTATTTTTCAAAAGATAAAAATGAAGTATTAAGTTCTCAAATAGCAAATGTATCCATGGATTTTATTGAATGAAGCACACTGCAGCCCTTGATAACAAAGAACAAAAATGAATGTCAGTGTTAATGCACCCTCCTTGCAGAAAGCAAACAGTATAGTTCTTCAGTAGAGGAGAACCACCAAAATTAATGTCTGAACCTAGACTAAATCCTCAAATGCTCCTTATTTTTTTATGTTAGTCACCCAAAACTGTTGTGCATTATGAATTTTTGCTGCATGCCAAACAATCACAAGTGATGTGGTTGTTATCAGCTGAATGAATGCCACCATAAATTACACAAAGACAACCAGCATTTATCAATAAATTGGGTGTTGCGCTTTTGCAAAATAGGACGTAACCACTTGTCTATCAGAAGCATGTAAAAAATAAGTACTTTTGAATATGAGACCCTCACCCTACACTTAAAGGATTTGCTTCCCTTCAGTTTTGCTATTTTTTGAGTGGTAGATGATTTGCTAACCAGGAAGCTGTGATTAGTAATTCGTTCGACCACTGTAATGATCCACTTCTGTGACTGGAATTTTAGTTGACAGTGTATTGTTGCCAAAGGCAGATATTATTTTGAATAAACTGTATTTTGACATTTATTTTTACTTTTTTTGTGTGTGCATGCACATCAGAATCAGCCAATAAGTATAAAGTAATCCAAAATTTTAGGTATTGTGTACAATTTTTATGAATTAAGTAATATTTTTAGATCCCTGTGTATGAGATATGTGCAAAACGTCTCTTCAGTGTGACACCGATATGTTCAAAATCACATGCTGGAAGATATAGACGTACTAAAAGACATGATAAACCTCTGACATATGAGCAATTTAATGGTCCACATCAGATACATCATCGGAAATCTTGGAATACATGGAATACAAGTAAGTTAGATTATTTTTTTTTATATAATTGAAGAATAAATATATTTCTCCCTTTTTTGTTGTTGTTGTTTTTTGCTGTAATATTGATTGATAGAAAAAAACATAAATTTTTTATTCCATTAAACATACATTTATATATTTAGTTGATTTTTTTCTAATTTTCTAACAAGTTTTTGAACTTTTCACGTTTAATTTCAGAGTATTTTCCCTCAGTATATATATGTGTGCGTGTGTGTTTATATATTGTGGATTTATTAAACTCGGATCATTTTTTAAAGTAATCCAGGTGTAATAAGTCTACAGTTTTATAAATTAATTTAATATTAACTACATTAGTGCTAGATTTTAGTTTTAAAAATCCATATTACACCCACTATTTCCAATTTATATATATATAACTTATACTGAATCTAGACTCATCATAGAAAGGAGTGCCATTGCCTGAAGCTTTGGACTTCTGCCTGTTGATCAGCGGAAGGTATTCCTTCTACCACACAAAGGAAAACCAGTGGAGGCATTTCTTTATCTACCACCTGGGGATATTCTCTCTAAGGGTTACAGGCTCCTGCTATGAAGCTTTAAAATCTCAGCTTTCTCACTTTTAATTTATTAATAAAAACTAATTGAAAATTAGCACTTGGATCAAGAACTGATGTCATTTATAAAAAAATTATCATTACTACGGAAATGGCTCGCAAGCCACATACAACTCTTTGGCTTAATAACGCTGAAAACTTAAATTGCACTAGACAGCAGAGCTTTTTGGATTTGCTTATGAATAACTGTATTTAAACTACTTTTATTAGCTAAATTTGCTTAATTAGTTGTTTTAATCTCGTTTTTCATAAATTTCTATATGTTAAGATAGTATTTGCATAATGAAAGAAGGCAAGAAACAAAATATCTTAAATTCTAAGCTAATGTATACCATTTACAAAAAATCTCATGATTGGGTAAAGGTGGTGCCACTTAAGAGGTTAAATGGAGCTCGCACCTTAACAAACAGTAATTCTATTTTTGAAGTAGAGGGAAGACTTGGATTATGAATGCCTCACTTCACAAACAGTTCAGTTCATGAACAAATTATCTGAGTAAAAATTTCCTCTGATGATGAACAGTGTCTTGCGTTATGAGCACTCAAGTTATTCGCATATAGTTTCCACAGGTATTTTAGATGACATATGCCATATAATTAACTTAGGGCCTTCTAAAAATACCATTTTGATGTTTTCATTGCTTAACTCTTATAACAAAGCCTGGTAACTAGTGATTTACAGGACCATGACTTCAGCTTGAAAGAAATTACAGCCAAATCAGATTGCAGGCAGAGACATAGTACTTTTTTTTCTTGTCTGTAGGCAAAACCATAGACTAGGAAGTTAACAATGAAGATATGGAGAACTGGACCATAAAAATGAGCTGGAGAGGGGGAGGGAAAGATGCAACTTCAGAAACAGCAACAATGGTGATTGTGGAAGAATTATCTTCAGAAGAGGAAGAAGAAAAAATGTCCTAATTCTGTGATCCATGCAATTTGTGCAAAATGGTGTAAGATATAGTTTTTATGTAGTGATTTCACCACCATTTAATAGCAGCAAACTATAGCATAAATATTTTCAATGAGAGTACCATGTCTCACTTTCAAAGCATTTTGAAACCTAGACAATTACATATAACAGTGCACAAATTATAACTGAAGATCACTTAATATCAAGAAGAGTTAAGTGAAGACAAAGAAAATATTTAAAAAGAAATGCTTTTTAAAGAGAAGTTTACCAAAAGAAAGAAAACACAGCTGCAGGCACTACAACACCTGTTTTTACTATGCATTACAAGGTGCTACAGAACAACTTTAAATGCAGCACTCTGTATGTTGGCAGGAATAACCCCCCTGCATATAACAGCTCAAATGGAACATACCAAAGGCACGATTTTAAGGCTTAAAAGGAACTGTTCCATAAAAGATAGAGACTTTGAATATTCCAATTACGAATCTCCCTGTAACCCATACAGGAGGCACCCAGCCATAAATCCAAAAATCTACTGTATTGCAAAAGATACACAAACTAGAGACTACTACCCATGCGCATACACAGATGGCTCCAAAATGGAAGGAGTCGGATGTGCATGCATTATTTATATAAATTCTCAAGTTAAAATAATACGAAAAGCTAAACAATTCGAAATGAAAACAGTATTTTCCAAGCTGAGTTGTCAGCAATAAAAATGGCCCTAGAATATTGTACTGAAAACAAAATTGAAAAAATTCAAATATACACAGATAGTCTATCCACGGTTCTAGCTATGAAAAATACTAAACATAATTCTCCGATCATTCAAGATATCTATGATATCTCCATCTCGAATCCTGATATACATCCTACTATTTCTGGATTAAATCCCATGTGGGTACTTCTGGAAATTAAGAAGCAGATGAAGCGGCAAAATCTGCTATTACTGACATGGACGCAGAATTAAAAAATCCCTCTTGGCCCAAATCTCAGCTAAAACACCAAATTAAATGCTTACGAGAACAAGTATGGGAAAAAGAATGGAAAAATAGCGATAAGGGGAGAAGACTCTTATAACTCATACCTCATATCAATACGGACAGACTCAGTACGAATCATCTAATTAATTGGTTTATGACAGGACATGGCCACTTTCCCAAGTATTTTTACGAACAAAACATAGCTCCTTCTGAGCAATGTATATGTGGGGAAAGGGGCGACCCTAACCATTACATCTTCAAATGTCCATTAACCAAATATTATCACTTGATACTTCCTGAAACTAACATATATCAGTGCTTGCAAATATCTTTAAAAGTAAAACAACTAAGAAGAAAAATAGAACTCTCAGTTATATTCCTTGCTATTAGAGGAGAAGAATTGTGCAATACAAGATAAGCAAAAAATAACACACTGGAACTTTAAAAAAATTTAAATTACAAATTGACAAAACTACCTACTTCACAAAATATTGAAGGACAAAATTGACAAAAGTACAGACTAGAAGACGATACAACACCTCTATGCATCCAATAAAATTAAAAAAAAAAAAATATTCTGGGGAAAAAAAATTCATATACAAAATAATTTCTGCCGGACTCGATATATACTCTGTTAGATATACAGGCAAAAAAGTGTTCTTTGTATTTATGTATATAATAATGCTATATATATATGTTTCTAAATGTATTGTTATATGTATGTCATTATGTCCCAATATTTTATATATTTGCCTTTATGTTCTGTACTTATCATTATGTTCTATATTTACCGTTATTTATTCGAGTATGAAAGGCACCATATGTCACAACTATATTGTAATCATATGAAAAAATGTAAATATGTCAAAATTCTTTCAAAAAAAATTATAATGTTCAAATAAAAAGTTCAAATAAACAGACATAATTTCTTGTTCAGTTACAAAGTTCCACTGTTCAAGGCCTGTAATTGCTTGTCGAGAATACCGACTAACTTGTCAATCGAAATTTTTTCATTTTCAATAACCTCTCTGTCACTTTCTTCACTATTGGAAGTGCGCACATGTACGCTTTACTGTCTTTATGCGCATGCGTAGCAGATGCGTGCATCAAACGCGCATGCGTAAGTTTGTGGCTTTGAGGTCCGCATTATAGATCATTCCGGATAATGGATGTCCGGATTACGAACTTTGTACTGTATTACTACCATACCTCCCATTTTCATTGTATTCATGTACACTGTTTGTTAGCTTTGATGAATTATGCATTTTTATTTCATTTGTGGGTGGATCTCTTGGATTTAACAAATAGGGAAATAAAATCTATCTGCTTTTTTCAGAATCACCAGGCATTGCCATACTAATTTTCTTCCATTTCCTTTCAATGAAATTGTACATCACTTCTGAAAACAATAGAGGTCCAGCATGGGAAAATACAGACAGATTATAATAGTAAATTCATTTTGAAGAGATTTATTATAAACGAAATAGTAAGAAATCCAGAATTAAATCCACAAAGACCTGAAATCCAAAATCTGTAAAATCCCCAAATACTTCAATAAAAAAAAAACTCTCAACTGTTTCAAACTAGAAAAAAATTCTGAAAACAACAGAAATATAAAAAATACATAAAATAAGAAGAGGAATACAATTAAAATCTGATTCAACGTCATTAATAGGAAGTAGATCACATTCAGTTGTATCCCTCTTTCCAGGGAGACCACTGTATTTCTGTTCATCCAAAATTATCTGATAATCCATCTTAAATTATCTACCGTAATTTCCGTAAGAAAGGCCGCATCAGCGTAAATGCCGCACTCGAGAAAAATGGCGGGGAAAAAATTAAAATTACACAGAAACGCCGCAATAGATTAAATTGCGCGTGACATCGTCGTGGGCCGTATAGATGCAAAAACTCAACCTAAGTCCTGATATATGACATACCAGTTAAGAAAAATGCATGAAATGAAACCATAACTCAATAAATTAAAGGTAAGAAATGTATAGCTTCTGTGCCGTTTAGAGACATTTTCAAAAATTTTCCGCTCCCTTAATTAAAAAACTATTCAACAAGTACTTGTACTCCTAACTGATGGGATCTGTATTTGGCAGAATGCCAAGAAAAATCCATTCATGCTGAAGGGGAAATTACGTCAGAGTTCGTTATTGCGAGGCAGGTGGAGTCGTGTCCGCCTTTGAAAAAAATTGCAGAAAAGGCAGTGGTGGTGGAAAGAGGATGAAGTCCTGGAAGATTCATCGAATGGCAGAGGAGAGAGACTATTCAAACTGATGAGAATGTTGATTTGAAAGAGGAGAAGAATGTTATTGTTCTCCGAGATCTCGTTTAGGGGTGAATAAGGCATGTAGGTCCGTTCAAGGGAAAGAACGTAAAACAAAATAATGTTTCGCAAAAAGCAACTGAGTGGTCTTTTGTGGGTGGGAACAAGCACCAAGTCTATGCACAATGACAAGGCCATCCAAACTATGTACAATGACCATCATAGGAAATATTT